AACGGCTCGTGCACTTGCGAGTATCACAAGTTGAGGATGCAACTGAATCCACTTTGGTGCAGCTGTATCTACGCAACAGTTGATGAATCTCGTGATGTATCAGTAAAAGAGCAGATGGTTGTTATGTTTCGTTATGTAGACAAGAAAGGATGTGTGATTGAACAGTTCTTAGGTATTGAACATGTTACAAGTACCACAGCTAAGTCACTTAAAGCAAGTATTGATGCATTATTTTTTCTAGACATAAATTGAGTATGTGCAGATTACGAGGTCAAGGTTATGATGGAGCCAGTAATATGAGTGGAGAGTTCAATGGTCTGAAGACACTTATTATGAGGGAGAATGAGTATACTTACTATGTTCACTGTTTTGCACATCAACTTCAGTTGGCTATTGTGGGTTTGGCAAAAAAAAAACAAAGCCTCATAGGTGCTTTCTTCACCTTAGTTTCTAATGTGGTAAATATTGTTGGAGCACCATCGAAGCGTCGTGACATTCTTCGGGATAAGCAGGCTCTCAAAGTAGTTGAAGCACTGACTAATGGGGAGCTTTCTAGTGGGAAAGGTTTAAATCAAGCAACAAAGATTAAGCGCTCATGTGATACACGTTGGGGCTCATATTATGGTACATTGATAAACTTTATTACCATGTTCTCATCTACAATTGATGTGCTTGATGAAATTGCAAATGATAGATTGACTGTTGATATAAAAAAAAACATGAGGCATTTGTACTGCTAGGATTAGTGCAATCATTTGATTTTGTATTCAGTTTGCATTTGATGAGGAATATACTTGGAATCACAAATGCATTATCACAAGCCTTACAGAGGGATGAACAAGATATTGTGAATGCCATGGATTTAGTTGAATTATGTAAGCAACAATTCCAGAAGATGAGGGAGAATGGATGGGATTCTTTGTTGGAGGAAGTTTTTGTTTTTTTGGAGGAATCAAAGTATTGATGTTCCTAACATGGGTGATATGTTTCTAGCTCGAGGGAGGTCACGACGCAACGGTCCAAAAATCACAAATATGCATTATTATCGTGTTGATTTTTTCTATGAAGTGATAGCTTTGCAACTCCAAGAGTTAAATAGTCGTTTCAATGAGGCCAACACTGAGTTGTTACTTTGCTTGGCATGCTTGAGTCCAAATGATTCATTTTCTTCTTTTGATAAGCAAAAGCTCATTCGGCTTGCTCAACTTTACCCGAATGATTTTTCGTCACAAGAACTTGAGGTACTTAAAGATCAACTTCAAACTTATATTGATGATATGCATTCCAACACCAACTTTTCAGAATTACAAGGTATTGCTGCTCTTGCAAAAAAATTAGTTGAGACAAAAAAGGACAAGGCATATCCACTAGTTTATCTTCTCATTAAATTGGCGTTAACACTTCCAGTTGCAACAGCTTCAGTAGAAATGGCATTCTCTGCTATGAACATCGTGAAGAACAGAATGCGTAATCGAATGGGAGACCAATGGATGAATGATTGCTTGGTAGTATATCTTGAAAAAGACATATTTAATAATATTGATAATGAGCTTATTATGCAACGTTTTCAGAATCTGAAAAATCGTCGAGGACAATTGTAAATTTACTTATTAGACAATGCTATTAATATTCAAAGTTTGAAATATTTTTTGTTTGATTATATATTGGTTGAATTTTTTTAAGCCCCCAGATGAACGAAAGTCTGGGTCCGCCACTAGCCTGTCTCCACCCTATGCCCCCCTCTCTCCCCCTCTGCTGCAACCAATAAAATAGTCGATATCTTTTTAAGCTGTGACCTATAAGCATTATTTAGTTGAACATGCGTGGAAGAAGTCATCAAGGAGAATGAGATTTTGATAGTAAATTTGCTGTCTGCAAAGAATTTTTCTTAGTAAAAAACTATTTATTGTCTGTTAATCATTTGGCTAGTGAAAAAAGGAATCTTCTGAAGATTCTTTTGCACAGAATGGCTTAATCATTTATATCAAACAAACTTTTGATATAATTTTTCCATTAAAAAAAAAAAAGAAAGCTAATTAACTTTTGGACTGTATGTTTAAGGGAGAGGGGGAGTAGAGGGAGGAGAGAGGGAGAGCAGAGGGGGAGAGAGAACAAAGGGAGAGGGAAGAGGGAAAGAGAGAGGCTAGAGGGAGGAGAGAGAGGACATCGAGGTAGAGAGACTGAGTAGAGGGAGGGCATGGGAAGTTGCAGAAAAACATGGATTTTTATTATTAAAAAAATATTTATTTAATTTAATCCATATGTCACGATGTACTTGGACATATGAGCTCTAATTATCTTCCACGTCACACTTAACAGAATTTGTAACGGCATGGATCATTTGTGATCAAAAATCCTAATATTAAGGACTGATAATATCATATAAAAAAACTTAAGGACTATTTGTGACAATTTCGTAAACCTTAGCAACTATTTGTGATAAAAAAACCTTTATTTTTTGGTCGGAAAACAAGTACAGGGA